TGGGCTTGAGCCAGAGCTTGAGCCTGCGCTTGCGCCTGGGCCAGGGCCTGAGCCTGAGCTTGCGCTTGCGCTTGGGCCTGAGCAAGGGCTTGAGCATGAACTTGCGCCTGCGCTTGGGCCTGCACCTGAGCTTGCACCTGCGCTTGCACCTGCAGCTGCTCAGGCGACGGCGCCACGATGGCAACGGCGTCGTGCTCCGGACTGAGCACGGCGGCGGCCCCAGCTGCGCTGGCCGCGCCCGGCCTGGGGGCCCGCACGGGCTTGACGCCGTAGTGCAGCGACAGGTGGCTCTTGAGGTTGTCCTTACGCGCGAAGGCGCGCTCGCACACGTCGCACTTGTAGGGCCGCTCGCCGCTGTGCGTCATCATGTGGCTCTTGAGCTTGCGGTCGCGCGCGAACGCCTTGCCGCACACGTTGCACAGGAAGGGCTTGACCTCGTCGTGCAGCCAGACGTGCTCGGTGAGGTGGCCCTTGCGCGAGAAGGCGCGGCCGCAGATGCCGCACGGGTAGAGCTTCTCCTGCGTGTGCACCACCATGTGCCGCTTCAGGGCGCACTTCTCGGCGAAGCACTTGCCGCACACGTCGCAGCCGAAGGGCTTCTCGCCCGTGTGGATGCGCATGTGCGCCGCCAGGTTGTCCTTGCGGGAGAACATCTTGTGACACACGTCGCAGCCGAAGGGCCGCTCGCGCTCCGGCTTGTCCTCCGGGTCGGCGCCGGCCGCGGGGTCGCGCTGCTGCTCCGGGGCGGGGGCGGCGCCGGCCCGCGCCTGCAGGTCCTTGTCCCGCCGCTGCTGGTCGCGCCGGGCCTGCACCTTGCTGGGCGAGGCCGTGCGGCTCGGCTTGGTGTGCGTCTTGACGTGGTTCTTGAGGTGGTCGCGGCGCAGGAACGCCTTCCCGCAGAAGTCGCACTTGAGGGGCTTGTCCCCCCGGTGGATCATGAGGTGCAGCTTGAGCTTGTCCTTCCGGTTGAAGCCGCGGAGGCAGACCTCGCACTTGAAGGGCCGCGCGGGCCGACCCGGCCGGGCGAACTCCACGTCGGCGTCGTCGTCCTCGAGCGGGTGCGACCCCACCAGGTGCATCATGGCGTGCCTCTCGAGCGCGGCCGCGTCCTGGAACTTGAGGCCGCACTCGGCGCAGTCCAGCGGCCCGCCTTTGGACCCGCTCCCTGCCGCGGCCGCCAGGACCCCGCCAGGACCCATCAGCTCCTCGTCAGCTTCCTCGAGGCTCACGATGGGCTTGACGTCAGCATCGTCGTCATCGTCATCATCGTCCATCCCGAGACTCACCTGCACAAGGAAAACACATCACATGTGATACAAGATTAGTGATAATATAAAAAAAATAAAAGAAAAGAAAATCCTTTAATATTTTTTTTAGGGAAAAAAATTATTAAAAGAAAATCCTTTAATATTTTTTTTAGGGAAATGACAAGTCAGTGAAAGAAACAAGACCGACATACCTGGGGCTCCCCTTGGTTTCCATGATGAATCAGCTCAAAGCGTTGGCTACAAGATGCACAAAGGTACGGCTCCTCTTTGTTTTGTACATTCTGTTCTGGTATGTCATCATTAGGTTTGCCACACAGCAAGCAGGCCAGATTTCTCCATCCATTTCCATCCTCTTCATCATCGTCATCGTCATCATCATCATCATCGTCGTCGTCATCATCATCACCATCATCATCATCAGGAGATAGGGATGCATCCTCCGTCTTAGTCTTTATCTTCATTTGTCTACAGTTTCCTTCACTTCCATTCATACTTGGACCACCCAGCTGGGAGCCGGAGTCATTGTCACTATTGTTGTTCATAGCTCGTTCCGCCATCTGCAAGTCCAAATACAATCATGACAACGACACAAAGTTGGTCATCTGCTTTTTCCCATTTGCTGGGGAAACAACTTGAACTAATAGTTAATACAGCAGATACTAATATGGCAAACCCTCCCTTTGGCTCCCACTAGACCCTAACCTTCAACATTTCAAATATCATATTTTAATCATTTCTAATGACAACACTCAGGAAGTGATTGAGGAGAAAATTTTACAGACAGCCCAAAGGCGTTGATGCCAATTTTCAGTGGGATAACTCAAATAAAGACAATGTCAAAATAAACTTCAAGAAAAAGTACAGAACACATACCATGGGAGCTGTTCCATGAACCATCATAATCCATTCATTGAAGAATCTTGCGTCGGTGAGATGTTTGTTAGATCACATCATCTCGGACTCTCCAGCCTGAACTGAAGCCCGCAGAGGCTGCGTCGTTGTCTCGAGTCCCCACGAGAGCCGTGGCAGTCGACTTTTTCAAAACAACAACAGACTTGAGAGGTTAGGGACGTCCTGGGTTCACGGAGTCAGTCCGTGAACGCGGTACGAGCATGGGCCACTGTTGTGCGGCTCCACCAGAAACACTGACAACGTACATTTGATGGCAGAGCAGTGCGTGGGTGCAGCGGGGGCGGCACGACAGGTCAAAACCAACGACACCCAGTACCTGTTGACAAACACCCATCCCAAGTCAGAGTCCAGTGGAGTCCATTTGCGAGCCGCTGCTCCACAGCTCCACCTCTGCCTAGCAGTACCTAGCAGCGAAAGGACTATACGGGAGATTTGCGCATGCGCTTGGGGGGGG